ACCCTGGTGCACTGTTACTGTTCTGCCCCCCCTTATCATCCCCTTACCATCCCCTAAATAATTATCTGTTATTAATTGCCCCTTCATTAGCCCTTTAGTGGCCTCTAATTACCCCCATTATTAATTACCCCTTTTCCCCCCATCACTCACTCATCCCTTCATTATTAGGCTGTGACAGAACCCTGTGATTAATTACCCCAGAATTAACTACCCCACCCCCATAATTAATTACCCCCATAACCCTGGGATCACACCATTATTGACCTTTTACTCCCGCCACCCCCTTATTGCCCCACGAGGACTCACTCCCCTCATACCCCCCTTTTTTACCCCTTGTGCTGCCCTCTCACCTTTCCCAGGTGCTCCCGCATCTCGAGCCCTCCCAGATTCCGCAGAGCCTCGGCTGCAGCCCGGGCGGGTGCCCGCAGCCCCCCTGCACAGAGCACGTGCAGCAGCCTGGGGATGGAGGGGGGTTAGAGGGAACTCCCTTGACCCCCAGACACCCCCCCCAGGGATCTGTCACCCTGTGGCTCCTCCCAGCACCCCACAACTGCCTCAGAGGCTTCCCAGCACCCTTCTTGCCCCACTGACTCCACCACTGACACGCCCATTGCCTCCCCATTATCTCCCCACTGGCCCACTGTTGCCCCCGTTGGCCCACCACTGAACTCCCCGTTGACCCTCCTATTTACCCCCCATTCACCCCACATGGACCCCCCATATTGACCCCACATTCACCCCATTGCCTCCCCTTTACTCTCCCGTTGTCCTCCCCATGGGCCCCATTGACACTCCACTGCCCCCCCCGACTTCCCCATTTTCCCCCCCACTGGCTCCCCCAGTCACTCCCCCATTTGCTTCCCCCATTGACCCTTCCATTGCCGCCCCCCCCACCCAAATACCCTCCACGGATCTCGCCACTGCCCCCATTGAGCCCAGCCCATTGACCCTCCATGGAGAACCCCCATAGCCCCCATGACCCCTGTACCCCCCATGGCCCCCGATGGTCCCCCCCTCACGTGTCCCCCTCGTCGTCCTGCCGCAGGAGCTCCCAGGGGTCTTGGCCCCACAGTGCAGCACGGGCGACTGCCAGTTCCCGGGGGTCAAGATCAGGGTCTGAGGTCTCCCTCCCCATCGGGGGGGGCCCAAATTCCCCACCTGGCATGGGGGAGTGGGTCCAGGCAGGGCCAGGGGTAGCAGCAGCCTTGGGGGGGGAAGCAGAGATCAAGGGAGGGGGCCTGGTCCCAGTTACCCCTCAGGGCTCCAGGGCCCCTCCCAAATCCTGCCCCAGTAACCCTCTCATTTCCCCCCATTTCTCTCCCTTTGCCTTACCCAGCTGCCACCCCATTGTCCACTATTATCCCCATTTTCCCCATCTCCCTCACTGCTTCCTCCATTGCCCCCTATGGCCTTCCTATTTCCCCCATTCCCCCTCATTTCCTCCCATTCCCTCCCATTGCCCCCCTTAACCCTCTCATTGCCCCTATTTAACTCCACATTGTCCCCCATTCCCCCAGATGTCCTCCCCCATTTTCCCCATCTGTCCTCTTTGCCTCTAATTTTCTCCCCGTTCCTGCCATTGCCCCCACATTGGCCCCCATTTCCCCCCATTGCCCCCCATCTAACTCCCAGTTGTGCCCACCATTTCCCTCCCATTGCCCCCCCGACTTCCCTCTCACCTGAAAACCCTCCAGACCATGGGCCCCTTCCCCATGGGCCCCCACAGGGCTGCTGGGAGGGGACACAGGGGGGACCCCACAAGGCTTGGGGGACACTAGATGGGGTCTGGGCCAGGTGGCACCTAAGGGAAGACCAGGTGTGAGGGGAAGAGACATAGGGGAGGGCTTGGGGTTGATTGAGAAGGATTGGGGAGGGCAATAGGGGGGACATGGGGAGGATTTAGGAGGCACAAGGGGGGATTGGGGGAGCAGTGGGGGGGAATTGGAGCCACAGAGGGGCACGGGAGGGGAGTGGGAGGGCAATGAATGGGATTTGGGGGACACCGGGAGGGTCGGAGGTCACTCACCATCCGTGGGGCGCGGGGCGGGCACAGCCAAACCCTGGAGGGCAGAGGGGACAGTGAGGGGGTCAGCGAGGGGAGGGGGAGGAGGGTGTCCCGGAGGGGAATGTCACCTGGAGGAGGGGGCGTGACTCACCGAGAGTCTCGCCCCTTCCCCGCTCTGCTGCTGCCGCAGCTCCTTCAGCAGTTGCTTTACCGTCTGCGGGGGGGCTGCGCGGGGAGGGCCTGAGAGGGGGCAAGGAGGGATTTGGGGGGTTACCGGAGTGCCTGGGAGACCCTTAAAACTCCTGAGATCTCCCCTGAAGCCAAGACCCCGCCAAACTCCCAGGACCGCTCCAGAGTCCCAGATTCTGGGGTACCCCCCAGACCTCCGGGGGTCCCCCCCCGAACTCCTGAGACACCCCCCCAAAACCGCTATGCCACCCGAACTCCCGGCCACCCCCCCGCCTCGACTCCCGGGACTCCTCAAACCCACGGTGCCCCCGCGGAGAGGCGGGAATGCCCCTGTCGTGAAGTCACGGGGATTCCCACTGCGTCACCGCCCGCCCTCGCTGGCCCCGCCGCCGCGGGATCTCCCTCACCCCCGCCGGGAGAATCCGGCGGAGGGGACACGGGAATTCCCCCGCCACCCCCATCTCCGCTTAAAGGGCGTGTGTGTGTGTGTCTGTGTGCGTGTGTCCCTCCCGGTCTCTTAAAGAGCAAGCATTCCCCTCCTCGATTCTTAAAGGGCCAATGTTCCCTAAAAACGAGTCTTAAAGGGCCAGTGTTCCCTAAAAGTAGCTCTTAAAGGGCCACTGTCCCGTAAAGGAAGGCCTTTAAGGGCCAGAGTCCCCTTCCAGGTGTCTTAAAGGGCCAACACCCCCTCCCAGAGCTCTTAAAGGGCCTGCGCCTCCTAAAACCGGGTCTTAAAGGGCCTGCGCCCTCCCCGCCTTACCTCTCTGAGGCCGCATCCCGCGGGGTCCCAGGGGCAAATGGGGCCGGAGCGGGCGCGGGGACCGTTTTGGGGGGGGCGAGGGGGAGGCCCCGCCCCGGAGGGAAACGCCACCAAAACGCCAGCAGTGTCACTGTTGCGACGGGTGACACGGGGGGGGCGGAGCCTCGGGGGCCCCGTGGGACCCAATCGAGGGGGGCCCGGGGGCAACTGGGCGGGGGGGCGGGAGGGGGATCCCAGGAAGGTACCTGGGCTGTTCCCATGTGACGTTGTCGGCACCGACTGGGGGCGACAACGCCGGAAGGTTCCCCCGGGTCCCCCTCAGCCCCCCAATCATTTTTCAGAGAGTCTCTGGGCCATTCGTGGGGACTCTGACCAATTTGGAGGGGGCGGCTCTGTCCCCCCAACCCCAGCAGACCACGAGACCCACCAAGACCATGAAGACCTCCAAGACCAAATAAAGGCTGGTGCCTTTATTTGGGGGGAGGATGACACACTCGGGGGGGGGGGGGGGGCCCCCAAGCCCCCGAGTTGGGGGGGGGCGTTACTGCTCCCCCGTGCCCCACTTTTGTGAGGCATGTCTCCCCACACTCCCCAGTCTAAGGGTGACTTAATGGAGTGCGGTGGAGACTCAAGAAAAAAATAGGGAGAGTGAGCCTGATCAAAGTAGACATGGAAGGAAACTTGAAAATGCAAAAAGGAGCAAGACTGTCAAGAGAGAACTAAAAAGAGCAAGCTACAGTAGCAGTGCATATATGTAAGCAAAATCTTAAAGCCAAGGGATTAATAGAGGAAAGGAGACAGCAAGCTAGATAAAAGTAGATAGAAAACTCAAATTTTTGAAGCTAAGGAACTAAGAGAGAAATGAATTAAAAAATATCAACAGCAAACTAAGATAAAGGCAGACAGAAACTAAAAAAAAACCAGACAAAAAAAAAAACCACCTTAAACCCGATACATGACAGGACATCTTCAGAAATTTTGCTTGTGAAAGTGAAAACGTAAGTGTGCATCTACTGATTTGCATGTGTGTCTTCTTAGCAATCAAAAGTCAGCCCAGAAAACAGATGAATGTGAAGAGTATGTGCCTCAGTCTTCATAGGGTAATCTCTGATCTGCCTTCAAACACAGTACTTCTGAATTTGGTGGTCTTAAAGACAACATTGAGTAGTACAGTTGTCCAGATTTCTCATTATTGCAGTTTATTATTTTGATCCTACTTCACTACTGAAAGAAAACTATGGGAGTGAGTCCATGTTACCCTGAAAGCCCACAGGCATGTCACCAATGTTTGTGCCTCTAATTATCTAGCTAGCCATTGTGGGTCAGACAAATACAGTAGAAAATAAAAATCAATTGTACACACAAAGTCGACATTATTGATGAATAGGAATAAAAAGGCCTTGATCTTCAGAGAATATTTCCATGATTGAATGATTATTGATTACTGTGACATTTGACCCTAAACTAAACATAATATAGTCATTAAAACTTTTGGGGGATGTTTTGCAGCAAACCTGCTTGTTATTTGACTGCAATACCGTTTTGAATGAGGCAATGCATCCCAGAACGTGGTGTGCAGACCATTAAATGTTCGCCTTAACAATTAGCTTTTACAGAACAAGTAAACCTCCAGCCACGGTAGTTCAGTCTCATTGAATACTCAGAGTTTTCAAACATATCTTCTTCAGCATCCTTGAAGGAGCTGGGGGGGTGTAGGGGTGTCAGTGGACCACTTCAGCAGACTTAGATGATTTTTTACCAATAACAGAAAAATGTTTAGAAACATACTTTGAGTACTCCACAGAAGAGACATATGTTTAGAATCCTAGAAATGGCTGGCTGTAGACTGCTAGTTTGCCAAAATGATGAAGTACTTCCAGGCAAGCTGTCATTTAACTATGAAATCGGACATGACCTATTGACTGATCCTCAGCACCAAAATTAAAATATAATGATTAGCTTTTTAGAGTGCTCAGCAGAGGAAGTTTATTCATCCTTCGCAGGACATTTGAAACAGGAATACACTTTTGCAGAGCACTGATGAGAATCACCTAAAAGAACATTATAGTCCTATATACTTCTTAACTCATGTTGGTCCTAGCAGTGGAGTTACATATTAATAGCAGGCTGTGTCCTTGGCCGTTGCGCTGCTAATGCCGCCTCCAGAACAATTTACTCAGATGGATGGAAGATGGCAGCGGTTGTAACTTTTTATTGGACGTCGCAGATGTTTAGTTTTACATATTTTTGTAAAGACAGGTATGTTTTATTTTTAATTTTATTTTTTATTTTCTTCTCTTTAAAAAATGTCTAACTTGCCTATTTGTATACTGATTTGCAAGAGTATTTTCATGTTTAGAAGGCTGCCTTTACATGAAGTTCCCTCTATAGTCATCAGTATTGCAACCGTAAAACTCCAACTTCCTTCTGATTTCTTAACACTTATTTTACAGGGTGAAAATTAATCCCATTTGAACAGAAAAAGCTATGTTAAACCGCCTTTTTCCTAAAAAATACTGAAAAAAAGATACTATTCTCCTTTTCAGTATAACTGAAATCTATTGAATTGTACTGTACATACAATGAAAAGGTAAATCTACAGATATACTGCTTATCCCCAGACATAATGCTGGTAAAGAATTTTTGTATAAATCATTTCTTTCTCAAAGAATTGTAGCCAAAAATAGTAACTCTTGAAACTTAGGCCCTTATTCGCTGTTTTAAATGCAGGTGTCATAGATCAGAGGAAACAAGACCGGTTATGGTAATTCTATTTATTTATCATCGACATCCGCAAACAAAGAGCAAATGTCTGTCTGCACAAAATTATATGCTTAAATATATTTTTTAAATTAACAAAGAAATTTTAGTGAGATGCTTTATTCCCTCTGGAGTTCCTTTGTGTAACCAATTTCCACTGTGAAACAGTAATTAGACATTACCATAACTTCAGCTGTGATGTGGGACTTGGAACATCTGAAAAAGAGGACCAGGAAATATTCCTGTACCTTCATAAGTGTCCTAAGTATAATATACTGCTCCTACATTGCTATCATATGATGGTTCAAATGGATCACTAATGCTCTTAAAATCCTGCTACAAGTCGAGGTACCTTAGTTTCCACTGATCCGATGCAGTCTGAGGGTGCTTAATACCTCATAGGGATATGCTTATCAGGATATCTTTTGAAGATAAAGTAGGCACGGGCAGATGATGCAGTTCTCCATCTTGTAGATGAGAGAGAATAATACCCAAATTATCAGTGAGCAGTTGTTCAAGTTGCCATGGTTACCATGTAAGCTACGATAGTTTTGCCCAGTGTCACTTTTTTTGTAATGCATTAAGGAAGGAATGCAGATTTTATAATGTTTTATACTTTTTTTCTCTCATACATTTTAGTGTTAAGATGGCAGAATAACCATGGGAGACTGGAATTTCCTTGGAGGCATTTTAGAAGAGGTCCACATCCATTCTACTATTATTGGAAAGATTTGGCTAACGATCCTCTTCATATTTCGAATGCTTGTCCTTGGAGTGGCAACCGAGGATGTTTGGAACGATGAGCAATCAGAATTTATATGCAATACCGAGCAACCTGGTTGCAGAAATGTGTGCTATGATGAGGCCTTTCCCATCTCTCTCATAAGATACTGGGTCTTGCAAGTTATATTTGTGTCTTCCCCTTCCTTGGTGTATATGGGTCATGCCTTATACAGACTGAGAGTCTTGGAAAAAGAGAGGCAAAAAAAGAAAGCTCAGGTAAAGGTGGAACTTGAAAGCACCAAATTAGAAATGACTGAAGATCGTAAAAGGCTGGAGAGAGAACTCCGGCAATTGGATCAAAGAAAGCTAAATAAAGCACCCCTGAGAGGCTCTTTGCTCTGCACTTACGTGATACATATTTTCACGCGGTCTGCAGTGGAAGTCGGTTTTATGATTGGGCAGTATCTTCTTTATGGCTTTCATCTAGATCCCCTTTATAAATGTCAGAGAGATCCATGTCCAAACACAGTTGACTGCTTTGTATCTAGACCAACAGAAAAGACAGTCTTTATATTATTCATGCAATCAATAGCGACTGTATCATTGCTTTTAAATATCCTGGAAATTATCCACTTAGGATTCCGAAAAATTAAAATGGGACTCTGTGAGCAGAATAAAAACAAGGACGACTCTGACAATTTCCACATAAACACATCTAAGAAATACTCTGTGATACCGCAGTCTTCTTTTGGAATACCCACCACCCCTCAGAAAACTCTTCCTTGTGCACTTAGCAGTTATACCTTTTTAATGGAAAAGCAAACTGACACTACTGTCTACCCGGTTCTAATTTCTCCTTCTATGTTTCAGTCTGTGCAAAATAAGCATACAGAAAGCAGCAGTAATTACACCCATTGCAATCAGGAAAATAAATTGCCAAAGAAGAGGCCAGTTACAAATGCTTTAGACAATCAGACTCAAAATACCAGCATGAATAATAACGAGGGTTTTCTTGGTGAGCTTGGGACTGAAGCACATGATGCACAAAAAGAGGCTGAAAAGAAACATTTCCTTGTTGTTACTCAGAATGCAGATATGGCTTCAAACATGTGTTTGAGAAGCTTTACTGACATGCCATCTCAAACTTCACTGCAACCCAATACAACTTTTCCTTGTACCAGTTTTAGGCAACAGCACGGAATTGGTTCGTCTTGGAACTGCTCAGCAACGGTTGAGAGTGCAGGAGCTTTGACAAATTCTCTTCCAAAAAGCAGCAACAGAAGACAAAGCAGTTTCAGTGCAAACAACGCCCAAACTCCTTACAATACTGATGTAAAAAATTTTAGCCGACCAGACACTCCTGACTCTACAGAGGAGGTGAGCTCAGAATCCACACAAAGTAGAAACTGGAATAGTCCTAAGCTTTACTCTCTGTCCAGGCAACTGTCACTGTCAAGTAATGCCAGCAGCAGGCGTGCCCCTACTGATCTTCAAATATAGTGGGAGTTAACCCATCAATGCTGGAATAATTACTGAACAAGGAGACATAAGCAAGACCTGTGTGTAGGAGTAGCTAAATCATTCAACTTTAACCAGCTTTTTCACGTAGATAGAAAAGTTGTGTAACCCTTTGAATAGCAGCTAAGTAACTTTCAAACAGTCCCTTTACTTCCTTTGTAATGAAAATGTGTCACAGACCTCAGTGTATAAACTTCTACACTCCTTCCAGCTAAAAAGGAAAACATACCTCCTCAAAGTCCACATATTAGGAAAAGTCTGGCATAAAATCACAGCGATAATACTATCTAAACTGAATAAAAGTAGGAGAAAAAATGTAGAGTCTAACAATATCTTTTACGAAGACCAGTAAATGAAATTAGGCTAAAGGTGGCACTGGCGCTCTCAGAAGAACTTTTTGGTAAACATGTTTCCACTTAGTCTGAGAATTCAAACTTTTGATAGCTGTCTGAAAGCAGAATGTCAAACATATCCCACTCTTCAAACTGTGTTAAATACAAAAAGAACAAAACATTTGATATACTGATCACTAATTCTTTGACTCCATGGTACACTTTCTTTTTCAGTGTATCACCACTGACTTCCTCAGCAGAAAAATCAAAGTGAATTTCTTTTACTATTAGAGTTCAATACACTATTACATTTTTAAAGCATCATGAATTGCAAACAAGCTGTGAGCTTTAATTTTGATATTTTGCATAACACTAATAAGATAGCAATTTTTTTTTAAATCAGAAAACAAGTTACTGAAATTTATTAATCAGAAATTTTGAATTTCACAAACCAGAAGGCTTACTATGGAAAATAGAAAAAAAAAAAAAGAGAGCGAGGAAAAAAAGTAAATACAGTGGTACATTCCTGCTTTCAGTTACAATGTCAAAAGACATATAAAAGGTTTATCAAATTGTAAAACTATTCCCTTTCTGTTGTCTTTCCCTCAAATTCTGATAAACTTTTAAATCAAACAAAGCTTATACTTGTTTAGAAGGAGCATTTTTGTTTATGCTTCTTATGGGGGTGATAAGACATTAAGGATATTCATTCACTTGCAGCTCTGGTCCATGCAGTGTAATGGAATTTCCAAGAAATACCTTGAAATAGTAAAGGAGGCAAAGATGAACAAAGTACTATGTTACATTTGTAATAGAGCTTTCTATGTATGAAATACATTTACTTGAGTCGCACAGCACTGCCAGGCTGTAAATACTTGGTGAAGTGGTCACAGCTGAGATGCAGTAGTGTATACACGTGGGTTTTTTACTAGTGGGTGTGATTTACTGTACATGTACTGGAAAAATATTTTATGAGATGTATCATCATGACATTACAGCATAATTAAATCCTTTAAGGTGCATTGTCATTGTGCTTACCAGACAGCCATACTTCAGACTGGCTGAAAAGCTGTACAATACTAGAAAAAAAGGAGCCTGAAAACCTAAAAAGCTCTTTTGGCCCTGTCCACGTACGAAACACATATTAGTACTATTACACCTATTCACTGTCGATTTCTTTCAGCAGGTATCCTTTTTGCCTCATATCGTTCTGTGTGTGTACATAAATACAGCCCTACATAATTCTGTTTACACTGTAAAATTTAACATTGTGTAATATACTGGAATGCACATAAATGTGTAGCCTGATTTAGGCCAGTTAATACTGCTATTGTGGCTTTAACTCTTGCATTTCTTGATGCATAAGATTCTGCGGACGATAACTGCTAATGCTTGTTTTACATTTAATGTCTCTGTAATAAAAAGCCTAGTATTTAATGCACTCCAGTCCCACTGCCAAATAATAACAAGTTAGCATTTAGATGCTTACATATGGGATATGACATTTGCATTTCTGTTGTTCAAGATGAGTTACAAAAGAATTTGTTTTTCTGCTGCTGAGAGCAGAATTTTATTAACTTTTTTTGTCTGGACAAGGGTGAAATATTTAATTTCATCACAGCACCTTGCCAACAGAAAAGTGTAACTTAATTCCAGTGAAAACTGAAGACATTGCAGAAGAGCACAGAGAAGAAATATGAAAAGACCCTAACATCACAGGTGGTAGATCATTTGGTTGCTTCTTTTTTTTTTTTAACTTCTATAATAAACAGATTTTATCTGTCAGTAGATACCAGAGACTTTCACAAAAATAAACAGGTATAACTACTTCTGTGTTTTTTTAAACAGGCTAAGGCAAATTACTTTCCTTATGATGCAAAGATTTCACCACATATTGCTCTTTGGAGCCCCTCGGGTGGGCACCTATGCAGCTGCTGCTTGCTGCAACTTCCCCCTAGGGCCTTGAGGGGAAGCCGTGTGAGGAGCGGCTGAGGGCACTTGGTCTGTTCAGCTTGGAGGAGACTGAGGGGAGACTTCATTGCAGTTACAACTTCCTTCTGTGAGGAAGAGGAGGGGCAGACACCGATCTCTGCTCTCTGGGGACCAGGGACAGGACCCCAGGGAATGGCCTGAAGTTGTGTCAGGGTAGGGTTAGGTTGGATGTCAGGAAAAGGTTCTTTCCCCAGAGGGTGGCTGGGCACTGAACAGGCACCCCAGGGCAGTGCTCATGGCACCAAGGCTGCCAGAGCTCAAGGAGTGTTTACATGGTCCTCTCAGGCACATGGTTTGACTCTTGGGGATGCTCCTGTGAAGGGTCGGCAGTTGGAATCGATGATCCTTGTAGGTCCCTTCCAACGCAAAATACTCAGTGATCCTGTGATTTCAGCGCGCTGCAGTTACCCCTCAAGCCCCCGGCAGGACAGCTCAGCGTTCCGGCCGAAAGCCGCGGCATGCCCCGCCGCTCGGAGACGCGATGCCCTCAGAGCCCTCAGAGCCCGGCTAGGGGCGAGGCCCGAGGGCGGTGCCGCGGCCCCGTCGCTCCGGTAACGGCGGGGAAGCGCTGGCGCTGTTAAAGCGCAGGGCGCAGGCGCACGGCGGGGTGGGTGCGGTGCGGGGTAGATGGCGCACTACAAGGTAGGAGGCAGGGCCGGCGCGTGTGCGGTGTTGCCCCGCTTCCCGCTCGGAGCGGCGGGACCGACACCGGCTCGGCCCTTCGTGCCGCTTCCGCGGCGGAAAGCGGGGCCGGCCCGGGCCAACGAGCCGCCTCGGCAGCCGAGGCGGGGCGCGCCGCCGATCTGACCGTGTGGGCGTCCTCTCTCAGGCCGCGGACTCCAAGCGGGAGCAGTTCCGCCAGTACTTGGAGAAGTCGGGGGTGCTGGACGTGCTCACCAAGGGTAAGTCTCCTGCCCGCGAGGGGCCAGCGGGCGGCTCTTGCGGCTCTGCCGGCCCGGCCCGGCCGTGTTGTGGCGGCCCGTCGGGCGGCCCCGCCGGCTCCCGCCTCGCCTGCCGCCTCTTCCCCTCAGTCGGCGAGGGGGCGGCAGCAGAACTCTCCTGGAAAATCTTGGTGCGGCGTGGCCTGGAAATGGAGTCCGGGCGGCGGCGGAGGGTCGCGGGCCTCTGAAACGCGCCCTGGGAGTTACAAAGCGTTAGTTCCTGTGGGGGTCGATTGTTAGAGGTGCGTGTGGGACACAAGGCTGTTCCTCTCCCCGAACGGGTGTGTCGGAGACCTCTCTTACTCTCGGCCAAAGTGCTTCTTTCAATGCGTGCTTTTGGTTAATTTCTTGGGGGCTGTTATTCTGCCAGAGCTCTACAAAGAAAGTAAACGATTGAGACGATATAACAGCAAGCATTATTTTAAACTCCACTTTAATTCTTTAAGACCCTTTCTTGAGTAGAGCTTAGTGCTTTTTCTAAAATGAATGAAAGTTATGTTTTGGAGAGTGACTACCTGTATCAAAATGGGGAAAATGATGATGCTAAACTTGACACATATGACTTGGCATCTTTGAAATCCTTTTGAAGTCTTTTTGAGAACCTTCTAATAGTATGTGGCAAAAATCTGTTTACATTTCTGATTGAAAATATGCTGTTTAAAGAGGGAGCAGCAGATCTAGGATGTCGAGCGAATAGGTGCTGCATTAAGACTCTTGGCCTGGTGTGTGAGTACCATTTGATTTTTCTATTGCAATACCATCCAATGCAATGGCAAAACAAGCCTTCCAAGCACTGAGGCATCCTAATTTTGTTTTTAACTTGGGAGGTGTGTAGCTTAAAACCAGTTTGACTGTGTAGTTCGAATATCTGGAACTGGCACATTGTCCCTGTAGGGAGTGGGGAATGGTTATGTTTGGGAACTTTCTGAGTATTCGTGTGACTGAGTTCTCCATGTATATGGCTACTTCTGTTTAAGCTGTCAGGGTATTGCTGCTCGTGTCTGACTTCTGTGGCCCTTGGGGGCCCCATCCATAAAGATTATCAGTGTCACCTACTCTGACAGTAGCCATTTAGTTTTGTAACTGTAGATGTTCGATGGAGGTTTGCTTTTATGCTGAAAGTTACAGAACTGCTGATGTCCTGTGGTTCAAAGAAGTGGAAATAATGATACATGATGGGAGTCTCAAAATAATTAGAATTTCAGTCTTGCTGATGAAAGCTAATACTAGTGTTGCATGTGGAATGTGTAAAAATTGTCCAGGCCATTTTGTGTTCTGTGCTAGACTAGCCAAAGACTGGGGTTAGGGATCAAGAAAACTTATATTTAACTGTTACTAGGTAGAATGCTCTGTCTACTCCTGTACAGCAGGCCTGTTGTTTATGTCAAAGTATACAGGTGAAAATCACGTTAAATGGGAAAATGTGCTATAAATGTGTTATGCTTTCTGACTGTTGGTATGTGTTTTAAAAACTTAAGAGTTGCGTGAACTTCTTGCAATTGATGAATATTTTCTGTTTGCAGTGTTGGTAGCCTTATATGAAGAGCCAGAGAAACCAAATAGTGCACTGGAGTATCCTTTTTCTCTGCTGTGTCTTGTTTGTAGAGACCTTGTGTGAAACAGCAGTACTGCTTCTGACTCATGGAGAGGCTCATTTAGAAGCCTTGCCTTGAGAACATGGCTTTTATCGATGCATTTTGGCTAATAATTGCCTTCTTACAAGCGAAGGGAGAGTCTGACAGGATGCAAGAGAACTGGGCTATCAGCGTGCCAACAATTACAAAGCTAAGTTATAGGCCATTACAGAGTTGTAGACCTGCAGCATTTGAGTACCTGCAGTGTCTGTGGCTTCTGAAGTTTGCTTCTTCGCATTTCTTTTTTTTGTTTGGTTGGGGTTTTTTTTAATAATAAGAACTTGTACTGATGTCTTGGTTTTGGTTGTGTTTGGTTTTTTTTAAGGAATATAGCTATGAATTTAAAAACCTCTCTTATTTTTTAACTTCATTCTATAGGATGAAAAGCACTGTAGTAATCATCAATGGTGTACTGTGATTTTGGTCATGTGTACTGCAGTGCTAACTTCAACATAAGTGTTAAAACTAAAATGTGGTTATACTGTATAACTGAAGAAATACTTAACATCTAAATATCAGCTTTCTGAAGCATCATCTGGGAGCTTCAGCTCCTGAGAATCCAGAATTAGAGGCACTTCGCTTGGAACTGGCAGAGATGAAAGAAAAATATGAAGCTGTGCTGGAAGAAAATAAAACCCTGAAAAGCAAGGTAAAAGTCTACTTGGTGTTACTCTGTAGTTCCATATCATACAACAAAAAAATACTTTAATACTTATAATACAGCTGACTTTCTTCTGTTAGAGTAACTGATAAATATTGCATTGTTTAGCCTCGTGGCTGAGAAATGCTGATGGAATTCATTGTAGTTAAGGCTTATTTTTTTAAATGGGAGACTTCTTTTAGAATATAACATATAATATTACTAAACTTGGGATTTTATTTATTTAGGGAAAGTCTGGGTTATCAAGTTTAATATGCCCTCATTCAATCCTGTCTGGATGTGTTTGTCTGATATTATGTAGCTCATGCTTCCATGAGAGTTTTGAAGAACTCAGGTAATGTATCCATTATAAAGGCTTTCAAAAGGCAAACCGAAAGAGGAATATTCTGTATTACTTTGTGTCACTTGGCACAGAGGCACACCCTTGCACATGTCAGGATGTCACCAGTGGAGGCTATTAGACCCACAGGGAACAATAATTTATGCTTTTTACCTAAAACGACCCTGGTATTTCTCTGTCTGCAGCAGCAGTGAGTCTGGAGTGCTGCTAAAGGCAGGACCATTCAGGCTGTCTGAAAGAGCTCAGAGGTGTGAACAGCTTCCTAAAAACACTGAAGAAAGAAACTTTTGAGGTGCTTAATACTCCAGTAGCTTATATGTCACTACAGATTTATGTGCATTTATTGGAAATCGATGGTGGCTGTTATATGTGAATATAACAGAGCTTTTTACTAGGAGACAGCCACCCCACTTCAGTTCTGGGAGAAGGAATTCTTGGGCATTACCCCTTTGTATTTCTTAGCTGGAGTGCCCTCTTGCTGTTCTAATAATTCTCCTCGTCTTCTGTTACCCGCTGTGAGTTCTCACAGCTACATTTGTTATTTCTTCCTAGGAAATATGGCAAACAGCAGAATTTTAGGGGGAGTAGCAGTAGACCAGCAGTTCACTTGGTGCAGCAGACTTAAAAATGCAACCGATAATAAGACAGGCAGATGAGAGCAATCTCAAGTCTTTGTTTAAAGAAGTCAAGACTTGTTCCAGGAAAGTAAGCCTTTCTGTAGTCATGGGTTCATTTGTGCTTTCACGTTATTCATCTTTCAAATGATAACTCTTACTTTACATATTTTCCAGTATTAGTGTGGGTTTCTTTTCCCCTTTCTTTCCTCTACTGTGTAATGCCCATCATTCTCACATCCTGTAGAACTTCACACAGAATGCAGGGAGAACACTACTGTTTAGCTTTCTTTCAGCAGTCCTCTAGCATAAAATGTATGCCATTATCTGTGCGTTTATTGAGAACTTCTGTTGCAATCATCTGAAGATCTGTCTTTTTCCTTACCTGACATTCTGAGCAATAAATGTATTTGTATATGTGTTGAAGGCAGGGACAGGAAGTCAATAGTTAGGCCTTAGGTAGAAAAGAAAACTTTTTGATTGTGTACTAGCCATCTACTGTAGTAAAATCTACAAGAATGAAAAAATGCTATTTTAGGAGGTTTTTTTAGCAGCAGAGTGATTGCTGCAGTTTAGTGTTGCTATGAGGAAAGAACATGTGTATTTTAATTTACTTTTTATGTACTTTTTTTATTTTTAAGTTACTCTGCAATTTGCAAATTGAGTAAACCGAACCAGCATATCTCAGAGAGATGGTCCTAATTCTTCAACATTTTTTGAAGCTTAAGCTTTTCTTTAATGTCACTGGGGTCAAGTGAACACCATATCTTTCCTTGGAAGTACTTACAAGTAAAGGTCATATTTAAGTGCATAGTTGCCCAAGCTGTGCTCTCCAGAAAGCATAGTGGAAGCTAGAATGACTACAGGAAATGTTAGTTTGGATACTGTTGCAATGAGAATAACTGACTGTTTCATTTAATCATGTTTTAGTGAAACCATAGCTTATAGGTCATCATTATCAACTGCTATTTAAGATGTAAAGTACTTAATGAGTCCTAGAACAAGAAGCAGTGAAAATTAAGGGCAAGACCTATGTGCTTTTAGAAAGCCCCCTTGTTATGGCTGCATGGTTATACAGTGTGACAAATGGATGTTTTGAGAGAAGGGTTACTTTGTTTCCTCACTTGAAAATGGACTTGAATGAAGATGAGTGAGTTAAAGTGCACAAAGTAAATGGAGCAAGTCCAGACCAAACATTTTCCTACATTTCTTAATGTAGAGTGTTATATGAAATGTTGCAACTAACTGAATTCCTTTCTTTAAATCCACAGCTGGCTCAGTATGAACCACCTCAAGATGAGAAGCATGGTGAATAACAGTAGTTTTTCCTTTAATGCCTTGACTAAATAAAGGGCTTCCTGAGAACTCTGGTCTTTATTGTGTATGTGTGTGTGTGAACTCTGCATTGTCTACTTTGTTACTTCATCATCTTAAAGAAAGAAAGTGCAGTATCATGAGCATGCAGCTGCAGCAGCAACTGATGAGTTAAGCGTACTGGCCAACCTTCTTTCTATGTTTAAGAAAAGATGACAGTTATGATGAACTTTTAGATAACTGTGCCTGCTAGCTTTGTGTAATTTTCACATCATGGTCAATGGTCCTGTTTGAACTGCTGATCTCTCTTGGTTTTCTTTTAACTGAAGGGGGTGACATGGCACAGATGGACTAACTGTAAACTAAAGCAGGACCTTCAAGTTGCATTCTGTGTTGCTACTCAGCACTGACGTTAGGCTTCTACTGAAGCTGACAGGGTAAGTGTCTACTCAGCGGCAAGTATAGTTAAGTGATGGACATAGCACAATGCTGAAGATGCAGTACCTACTGAACTTACACTACAATTTCTGTGAGGTGTACCTATTTCCATGCAGTTCGTGTCTCTGATTCCATGTCAGAAACTGGGCCTTGGAGAGTTGATCAGAATACAAAATTCTTACTTGTAATGAAAGTCCTGTGTAATTACGGTGGCACGTGTAAGAGTGCAATGGAGAGAGTTCTCCTTTCTTATTCATCTAACAGTGAAAAGAATTTAGGCAGGGTAGAAAATCCAAGTAGGGTGGGGTGTGAGTGTGACTTGTGATTTCTAATTTTGTCTGTGTTCTGTCTCCCATTTCCCTGAATTGGCTTCATGACTCTTCTGAAATGCAAAATAGACCTTTATTTAAAAAAAAAGAGAGATACATTTTAAATAGCTGCATTTGTTTCCTATCCTAAAACTAGCTACTTTAAAGGCAGCTGATGACAGGAAAAATAAAGGAAAGGGGAAATGAAGTTGTCTTATATATTAGATTTACTGGCTGTTAGTTTAACTTCCTTATTTTTAGGATAGGTTTTGCAGATTGTCTTGCAGGTGTGGTAGGATGGATCAGAATTTTTGTTTAAGTCAATCTAATCAAGGGCTAATGAACATAATAATTGCTTACTTTACTGCTGTATCTAATGTTGATCTAAACAGGCCAGAAGAGAGGTAAATGAGGGGGAGATACTGTGTTAAGTCTGTAAAGCATTAATTAGAAAAAACCTACCCTGAACCAACAAATCAAAAAAAAAAAGGCAGGAAAAAATGCTCCAACCTCTGGAACAAAGGAGAGAGAAAGCTCACTTGTAAGATAGAACATATCCCTAGCATTAAGTTGCACCATGTGCAAATAGGGAGAGGATAATGCAATAGGAAATGTACAGCTGAACATGTTCTCTGAGTAATGGGACTGGCATGTCTTGCTAAAGAAGCAGCAAGATGGGTAAAGGTGTTAGTCGAGCCCATAAACAGGGCAGGAAGGACTCCCGAGTCGAGATGTTGGGTGCCAGGGCAGTAATGCAAACTTACATTTTTCATAACTGTATTTGCTCCCCTCTGAAAAGCAGTTTGGTTCTTGTGAGCCTTAATTTAGGATCGTAATGAAATAACAGTAACGAGTTTGATAAAACTTCAGTTGAGCTGCCTGCCTGTACTGGGCCGCCAGTAGAAAATGGAATGACTCTTTAATTGAAGAACCTTGCTAAAATTAATGACTGTTTAACGAAGAACTTTGCTTTACAAGGTAACGTTTCCTTAGAGGGGGTGGCCTCCCCCCTCCCCTGCTGAGGGCTGCTTTTGCGCCTTAAGAGAAGCGGAACCTGCAGCCTGTCTCCACAGCAGGGACAGGGCACGGGGGTGCCTCGCGGCGAGTCCCTCCTGCCTGGTGCC